CAGCGACGGGCGAGCGGGCTGCGGCGGCTTAGATGAAAAAACGGAATCTTAAAACACCTTTTTGGTGTTTTGAGAAAAGTATTTTAATTTTTAGATTTTGTAATGGGACAAGTCAAAAAAACGTCCCAGTTGCCAAACACGTTTCTTTGTTTTTGTTGAAAAAAAACAGAAACGGCAAAAACGCCACGATTGCCAAACGCTCCCTTATATATTGAATTTATATACTTCTGTTAAAGACAATGAATCATATAATATTTTCAAATAGTATCTGGGCTTCTTAAGTACTAAGCTAAGTCCTAGAGGCATGCGTTCTTCTATATTCTACTTTTCTTTTGACTTCCCATGTTATTATCATGTCATATCAGTATTTAGGCTTCTTACGTACTGAGCTAAGATTACTTCTGCAGGCACACACACAAATGTACCATAACTAATATATTCTTCTAAGTATTTTTTATCTATTTTTTCTAGTAGATAATTTTACACTACAAATTAGAAACTTAGCAGGATTTTCTTTTTATCTGAAGATTCGAGGGAAACATATTTTTCCATATATTATTAAGTGTTGCTTCTTCATAGCTATTACCCTTTTTCATTTACACCCGTAACTCGGACATGTCCCTCTAAAAGTGCCATTTGATCTCTATAATTAGATGTTTGCAGAATGCATTTTTGAAGGAATTGCTCATGCCAAAGAAATAGCTATTTAATTTCCCGTTTATGTATGTTGTCATCTTTTGGGTCAATTAGTAAAAAAATAAAATCATTGAAGGTCTTGTTTGGTTGAATCAAAATTCTACTCTCATGATAAAATCTCTCATTAGTTGGCTAATACTCCACAACCTACAAGTTTCACAAATATATCTTTAATCAGAAAGCACCAAGGATTATCATGTTCTTACATATTTTATTAGGCATAATTAAAATTATAGGTTGTACAAAGTGGTTACTTGTTCTCATTAAATCTCCAATATCTTAAATAAATTATTACTTAAAATAGCACATTTTCTCATACATTGCATTTGAATCATTACATATTGCTAAGAGGAATAAGAGATGAAAAAGGTATGAGCAGAAGGTAATTCTCCTATTTTGTTTATGTGTATAGAAAACATTTAATAATTCACTTAGATAGAAGTTGTTTTTTGCAAGTATCAAGAAAGGAACAACTACGGTACTATAAGTGCCTTTATTTCTGAATTACAGATATTTGCGATGTTATAATTATGTGAGTAGTTTTAAGACTAATATACATTTTGGCAAGACCGATAATAATAGCCTGATGTGCAGGAACTCGTCTGAGCGTAAGTATAGCATTCGTTGACTTTTCAATAACTAGAGAAGAAGCATTAAGATGTCCCTCTGCAAGATTTTTTTTGCAAGCAATAGAAAACTATGCATGTCCTTTTATGTAATAACTTTCATATGTATCAAGTAGTATAAACTTTCTTCAATGAAGTATTTTGCAGATTGTGATGTCAACTTTAAGATTCTGTGAGTTAATATGTGCATATGTAATATGGTTGGAATTTTATTAATTTTTTTATAATCTCTAAGGGTGATGTTATAAAAATGCCCATCACTTTTTACTCTCTTTCCTCTTCTTTTTCCTCCCACTTAAGGGTTCTTTTTTGTCATTTCATAAAAAAGCACATGGATTATGAACCACCTTTACCGAACAGCTAAACTTTTAATCCATTTTGGTTAAAATCTACTAACAATATGTAACCTAAGTGGATTAAAATCCAGAATTTCGAAATACGCCCTAAATCTTCTAAACCCTCAATCGTCTATCAGCAATGTAAAATTCAACCAAGCGTCGATGCATCCTTATCGCCATGTATTCTAGTTTAATTAAATAAACTAGTTCATATATTTTCCAATGTTATTGCTTCTGCTATTGATTACCTTATTTTCCCTCTAGTTGCTTTCTCCTTGTGATGGCAATGGTGCCAAATCCCTTCATCTTGCTCCTATCTTTCTACTTAGTAGTCAAAATAGTCTACCGAAATGTTATTTTATAATCTTCCACAGTCTAAATTCATGTTAGTGTTAAAAGAATTATAACTTGCATTGGAACTTTTTCTAATTTTAAATTTTCTCATATACTTTTCATTTTTAAAATAGCATCATAGTATGTTTCTAGTAAAATGAGGCTCCGTGCTCAGTCTCGCCAGACACGGCTCATAGTATACCAAATAAAAGCCCTCTGAGTTAGCTTTGCAGCAAAACAAATTGAAGATCATTCCGAGTTATATAGAGGAAGTAATCAATAATTTAGTGTTGTTGTGTCCGAAACTTCTGTCAATTGTTTTTGTTAATTAGTACCAAAAAATGTCTCAAGTTTCACATCCAAAATAACTCATCTATTTATGAAATTTTCTCCGCTGTTAGATATACATCTTGTCCAACATCTTATCAAATTACCATAATTTCCGGGAAATGAAGTTGCGGCAAACTGAGAAAAATATCCTTAGTTTTAGTTTAGTTCATGAACATATACAAGCTATGTGGTACATAATGTCAATTTCATTCACCCAATTTCTATTCAGGAATTTTTTTTATCATTCAAGACTTAGATAACTCTTATTTAATGACAATTCACGAATTCTTAAAGAAAAGAAGGGACATGAAATAAAACTATGAAGATCCTCAACTTGAGTGAAGAATTGTACCTACACGTTACTTCGACTAGAGATGAATTATAAGGCAAATCATGAGTTGTATACTTATTAAATGTTGAATAGGGAAAATGGATAGCGGACCAAGTGCTCTGAATTTTCAGGACCAATGAGGAGGATGAAATTTTTTAGTACAATAAAAGGAAAACGCTGAAATACTATTAGATGACTATAACCCTAGGCATCTTTGGTCGCTAAGCCTCTCTCAAGAGTGCATATATGTAATTTCAGTGTAGAGTATAAAAAATCAATGGAAAAAAGAGATGGCAACATAAAACCAAATATCTTGTATAAATTTCACTATTTACAAGCATTACACAAAGAAGCTAGACATTGTTGATTGGTTAAGTGATAATTTGTGTGAGGAACTATTATTTGTTTATAAAAGAGCAATAGTTTCAGAGATAGTTAGTTCAGGTTGGAGTGTCAGTGCAAGTCTCAGTTAGTGTTGTAAAACAAGGATTATGTGCCAAACCGTATGTGGCGTGTGCCCACATCATATAATGGTTATTTGGTTCATTATGCAAAAAAGGCATATAGTAATCATGTAATGTTATAATTTTTTTTTTAATTCTTATAGTGATGTAATTATGCAAAAGTTAAATAATTAGTGGCTGTTCTCGTTTTATGTGTTATGAAGGACAACTATCTCTTGTGCCTGACAAGTACATGACTTGTGTAATTACTTGGAAGTTTACATACTTAAGTGTCATTATATAAACACAACATGGATCTTTTCTTCAATTACTTTTTAATTGCTAAAATGCTTGTCATTTTTTTTTAATTTTCTTATGTCTTCAATTAAATTATGTTACTTAGTCACGAGCATTATATTTTTTGAGATTCTAGGTAGCATCCTTGTCCTTATTTTACAAACTCTAGTTGATAGAGGCAGAAGTGAATCTTGTCTACTACAGTATGCTATTGATAGTTAACTTATTGGGTATCAAAGGATGTAAAAGAGATGGATAATTTATTTGATCGTTATTTTTCAAACTGAAATACTATGTATACTTTTGCTAGGCATATTATAATTGGGCAATTGCTATCTCTGATCGTGCTAAATTGCGTGGTCGAACAAAGGAAGCTGAAGAATTCTGGAGACAGGTTACATTTTTTGAATCATAATCTTCCCAAGCACGTTAGCTTTTATACTCTTGGATTGAGAGAATTCTTTGAAGCCCAAATTTGCATTGAATTATTAAAAGATATCTATATTCTTTTTTTAATGTTGTTTTCCCCTTTTAGTTTATGGCAAACATCATTTACTTGCAGCTACTGTGTATAAAGAAAGTTGAATAATGAAAACCCCTGCAAGTGATCCCTGTAGCTATGCACACGCGCGCACATGCACACACATGTATACATATGCATTTTCTTACATTTATGTGTGTTGAAGGCATTCTTTTAAATGTCCCCAATATATTTAATATATCATTCGATATATCCTTTATAAGAGTTGCTACAAAACGATATGATAACAATATCCTTTACCGCTTTTGACAAATTTTGGGCGATATATCCCTGACATGGCTAATATGTCAGCCAATATGTTTGTCCACATGTCCCTCTTATATGACTTGTCACAAAAAATTATAGTTCTACAAAATTTCTTTAATTTCTTCTGCGAAAATTCCAGCCTTCTAAAGTGTTTTAGCAAATTCTGGTTGGCTCTTCTCCTTAATTAAGTTTCTAAACTTGGTTAGTGATCCTAATCATATATTATGTATATTTTTGTATTATTAGATTTTATTAAGTATGTTTAGATTATATTTTAGGATATTATATTATATATGCACATCATCTAATATGACACTAATATTTACTACATAAACCTGATATTTTCTTCTTATCTGTAATTCGATAAGAATTTTGGCCATCACATATATCCCCGATATTTGATATTTAAAACCTTGGTTTTTTTGGGGTGGGGGCTGGGGAATTTTGATGGTTGTGAGGCGGCAACTTGTTTAGCAAAATAAGCAACCAAGAGACAGAATAAGGATACCTACACCTTCCAACAATCCGATGTGACTAGAAAGGTGGTTCTCACCACATTGCTTTCCTTTGGTAGCTCATTTAGCAAAACAAGATGCCACCTCATACCCATTTTATCTCATATGCATAAACGTATGACTATTGTGCATCCATGCATGCGCACATGTTTCTAAACTTAAGTTTGATGTTACCAAAATTTGTGATGTTTAATCCTAATGGACAGTCCATAGTATTCATCTTGATCAACACACCATAAAACATATGCCAATAAAAAATTATAAATCATGGGTTTAGGATTTCTAACCGAGTCATCCAATGATCGCAGAAAAGTACGATTTGTTTAATATAACAAAAAAAATACTCATTTAATGGAGGAAATAAAGCTTATGCATATGTTTTTTCTACATATGATTTTATGACTTGATGAACAAGATGGATAGTGTGTAGATGAACATGGAAACTTTGGTAGACAAAACAAATTTTGTGTTTGTTCATATGAAAATTAAATCACTATATATAGGGATATGAGTAGCTAACATAGAAACTTTGTACATCAGTCCTTCAAAATGCATGATCTGCTTCAATTGTTATGCCCTCCTTTCTGTCAAAGATGTGTAGATGAAAATAATATGAATCAAGTGGGCTTATTTCTTACATTACCAAAATGCCATTCTCTTAAGGCATGGTAAAAATTCTCAAACCTGGCAATTTAAACAGTCGTTAAATATGTCTACTGATCTGTCTGTACAATCAATCAATTTCTTATCTGTACCATTCTTATTACTCATTGTATAATATTGCTGTATGCAAGCTTGTTGGTTGCCATTCTTATCGTCATATTCTTTTATTAATATTGTTGTACACAAGATGTTTTGCATTCAGTGTTGGCTTGTATCTAAAGAATTAGTCAGGGGTGTTTTTGCTGGCATGCATGTAAATTAGTTTGTGGGACTACATGTTCTGCATTAGTAGTTTAGGGGATAAAAGTTTCTTGATTGGGTTATATTTTCATATTTGAATTCATCAAGGTACTGTACCATCTTTCAACGTGCGTATATATTAGGAGAGAAACTTCTGAAGTTGGTTTATAGTGAATCAACAACCATAAAAGTTTCAGAGACAGTTTATTTTCAGCACATCACTTGTTTAAAACATGAAAATATATGCTCAGTGGATGTTGCTGTGGTTATATCATTCTCTCTCAAAATTGGAGGCAATTTTTGATATGGTTGGCCTCTGTGTTAGCCAAAATGATTCTATTTAGCATTTTAAATCAAACATTACATATAATTATGATTGGAGATATATTTTTTCTATTTCTTTGAACACCTAGTTGGTTTTGTTGCAGGCAACAAAAAATTATGAAAAGGCTGTCCAGCTAAATTGGAATAGTCCTCAGGTATTTTTTTGTGCAAATCTTTTAATATCATCTCCATTTTAAGTTCCTGTCATTCCCACAATTTTTGGAAAAATACTTGTATTGGAGATTTTAGTTATTGTTTACTCATTGAATGAACATATATGTCCATTTATGTTCGGGTATTGGAATCTTTTTGGAAGGTTTCTTCGTCAGATACTTCAAAACATTATAACACATAGAATCCATATTATGTAGGCATAGAATACCAAAAAGATTTTATATTATGACGCATGAGAATGATCAAACAAGGACACTCTCTTGCACCTAAGGAATTCATCTATATAAGAAATAGTTTGGAACTTGATGCAGATTTGATAATATTCTATAAATTTATTACTTTCACACTATAAAAGATAAGCATTATTTTTTTCTTAGAAATATATATGGAATAGTATGAAATGCATGAATGGGACAAAATTATTCTGTATTTCTATTGTAATCTTTGACATGTATATTAGCACTTTTTTTTTAAATAAATAGTTTTTAAATTTAATTAAGAAAAAACGATAAAGTCTTTTAAGTTTTTTTTTTATAAACAGTGACCAAGTTTCAATCACGTTTTTATTGCCTGTTTTTCTGTTTTTTAAATGATCTGACTTAATATCAATCATTTATTCCAATCCATGATTGATGATCTCTAGACAATCCTACCATATTCTTGTTATTTAATTCTTGTCCAGTCTTCTCACTATTTTATTTGTTCATGACTGTAGGCCCTTAACAACTGGGGTCTTGCTCTTCAGGTATTTGCTGAGTATGAATTTTTTGTTTCAAAATTTTGGCTCCCTGTCTTTACTCTCCTACTTTCTTCTGAGGAAGCTTAGTGTTTAATGTCAAAATATTGGCTCACATTCTGTTAATTATACAATATCTCACAGGAGCTTAGTGCTATTGTTCCTGTAAGGGAAAAGCCAGCTATTGTTCATTCAGCTATAAGTAAGGTAGGCATGCAATCGTCTAAATGTTTTACTTCAATAGATTGCTTATAAATTCGTCTACACCAAAACCTCTAAAAGTAATGCGGTGAGAGGGTGTTATAATTCTAGTATACTAGACGGATGGCCCCGTGGGCATGCTTGAGGCCCCGCCTTTTTTATGTGAAACGCGTAAACTCGATGAGCGACCAGGGATCAATCGGTGTGTAGAAGTTGCTGCTTTAAACTTCGTTTGGTCCGTGGAATGAACTGGGGGTTGGACTGGTCTGGAATAATCGATGTCAAATGTTCGCTACCTGAAGTTGCATCCGAAAGCAAGCTCCGAGACGTTGGTGGTGAGGATTGAGTTATATATTTTATATGCCTAATCATGCGGGCATCGTAGCTGACAGACGACGCCCCAATTTGCAGTTAGGACTTGATCTTCTTGTTTTCTTCTATATTCTATTTTCAAATGTTTTCTGAATCGCCAGCAGCAACTCCAAATATGTTGGTGAGCAGTTGAGGAGTAGAATGTCTATAGGCAGTTATAAATTGAACTATCAGATCGGTGAAACAGAAGAACAAGAATACTACATCTATAGTTGCGAGAAGTGAAAGTAATCAAATGTCAAAAGCGAATAATAGATGAGGATCTCGTATAGAATAGAGATGTGAACCAATACTCGAATCTAACTATGACAGAAGGTAGCTTGCTTTAAAAGCATTGAGCAGCTGCAATATAAATACACGATAGACTGGTAGAGTTCACTAAGGAGAAGATTTCCTTTGGGCATTGATTTTGCCTGTCAAGTCTGCAGTCGTGTCTTCTGCTAATCCAATACTGGCAAGTAATTTAATTATAATACAACCTGAGACATAAGCCTATTCCTGGAAAAAAAAACTCTGAAAGAACTTCACCAAGAGATATATAGACAGAAAGAAGCTCTAAAGAACAGATGCAATAAAAAACAATTATAAAAAAAGTGGTAAGTTTGTTTTTACCAAAACAGGTCCCTAGTTATATAATGCTCAGAGGATGAAAATCAACGACATGCAGGTCGGAAAAGTAGAAGCACGCGGAAACTGGCAAAAAACAAACAATACAGAGCAGTTTATAAAGCAAAAGAAAGAGTGCTTAAAAGACGATAAAACTGCTTGTATGTTGTTTTTGCAGTTCCGTGCTTCTATCCGACTGCAGTTTGATTTTCATCGAGCAATATATAACCTAGGGACTGTTTTGGTAATTACCAACTTTTTTTTAATGTTTTTTATTGCATCTTCTTAGAGTTCTTTCTGTTATATATTCTTGGTGAAGTTCTTCAGAGTTTTTTTTCCAGAATAGGTAATGTTAGTCTGTATATAATTAAATTTATTGCAGTATGGATTAGCAGAAGACACACTGAGACTTGACAGGCAAATCAATGCAAAAGAAATCTCTCCTAGTGAACTCTACAGTCTATGTGCTATTTATATTGCAGCTGCTCATGCTTTAAAGCCAAGCTACTCGGTCAGTTAGATTGATATGGTTCACATTTTTCTATACAGATCCTCATCTATTTCGCTTTTGACATTTGATTATTCACTTTCGACAACTATAGATTGTAGTATTCTGTTCTCTGTTCAGATCTGATAGTTAATTTATAACATTATAACATTATAACCCTCAACTCTCACCACAAATTTGGAGTTGTGCTGCAGTGTCAGAAACATTTGACATGATATTGGAGAAACAAGAAGTCAAGTCCTCTGCAAGTTGGTGTCAGTAGATGCCCATGTTAGGATATAAAATTATAACCCTCAATCCTCACCACAATTTCGGAGTTGTGGTGCAATAGTAGGAACATTTGACATGATATTAGAGTAACCCCAGTTCAATTCCCACGGACAAGAATTTAAAGAGAACTTTAAAACGATTGATCCTGGTGCATGAGTTTAGGTTTCAGCCCATAAAAAGGGCCTCAACATGCAGGGGCATGTTAGTATATAGAATTATAAACCTCTCACCATTACTTTAGAGTTTTGGTGTAGTGGCAGAGATCTTTGATAGTCTATCCCTATTCGTTGTAACAAAATACTGTATAGAATAATAAACATAAAGTAGTCAGGAATGAGACATCAAGATTCATGTCTGGATAAACGTCCTAATTTTCTTATTTGTTATTCTTTTGGAAAAAAGGAAAAAACTTTACCTGAATTGGTATGTGGATTTAATGTGAAAATATCCTTACTTTTGTTCTGGTTTCCGATAAAAGTAGCTATTGTGATATTTTGGCTTATTTACTGGTCCAAGGGACATATTCTTGTCTTATATTGTTTACATGCAGGTTTATCGTGGTGCCTTGAGATTAGTTCGTACGATGGTCAGTAATGATTCTATCTTTTTTTAATATGATTCTTTTGGTACTGGATGACTATGTATGCTGTATGAAAAATGAGAAAAAGAACCATTGTTATTCCTTAATGTGTCTTTTTTTCTTCTTTTAACAATCTGAGGACTCTGATTTGCTTTCTGTTTTAATTATAATTTATATGATTATATGACTACTCAGGTTCATCCATGCTCACGCTCTTTCATGTTTCATTGAGCTCTTATAATTTATTCTTTTATGAAATAACGATCATTAGATCTTGATTCAAATGCACTAAGTGTTTTCTTATTTGCAGAAAATTGTCTATGTTTGCAAACATTACTTATTCATTCTTATTTAGTTGAACAGAAATTGCTCTAATGCCACGAACCATTTCTCCTTGTTTAGCTGAACAGAAATCACTCTAAATTTCCATTTAAGCATTCAATAATAAGGTAAGCAGTAGAAGGCACTGGCTTCCATGTTGTTGGGTTTCTGATTTTTCTTTTTCTAATAGTTGTCTTTATAGACGCATTATAATGTTAGTAAAAGTAGTGGCTGAAGGAAGTTTGTAGAGAAAAGGTTTTGCATTGAGTCTATGTTGCATGTTCACTTCTGTCTAAAGCCGAAACTTGTGTCCTACCCATAATCAGACACTGAACCTTCACTGGACACTCCTTTGATATATTCATACACGTATATAATACATGTTTTAATTTAGAACACTCGTTATACACTTCTTGGACGCATATTTAACTTCACATACACTTTTTCAATATCATGGGACACATGCTGGGTTAATTTTAGCCTGTATCCATTGCAAAACAATGGTTTTAAAGGATCTTTTGGATATCATGTTTGAAATTGAGCAGTTTTCTGATTTATATGATATAAGAAACATAGAAATGGAATTCTATTTTGTATGAGATGGGAATGAAAAAACAATATTGATTTCATGCGTTCATGCATGTATATATGTAAACTGTGTCCTCTTATCCTATCTAATACAAATTTTCTGTGTCCCTTATCCACACCCCTACCCACAATCCTACCCTTATCAGTGTAACATAAAGTTGATCAGGTAGCAGTTATAATTTCTATTGAAAGTTTGCACAAAAGAAGATAAAATCGAAAGTCACATTCATATCAGTTTCACTCGAGATAGAATGCTTCATGCCCCAAAAATGAGTAACACAACGAGCAAATGACCAATCGTAGACGGAAAGAAAACTCTGTTTTTCAATTAGCATCCTATATCCTTTAATAAAGAAGTATTACTTTTTTTACATAAAAGCATTGCCAATTGCCCAAGTAATTAATTCTAGATAACTCCCAAAGGCAAGTAACTTCAAAAGTATTTTGACCTTATCAAAAATACCTACCAAAGAATTGCCAAAATATTGAAAAGACAATGAAAAACTAGACTTTTATAAACTTAACAAAAACTCAAGGAAGTCTTATCAAATCTAACCAAATCCAAGAAAATAATTCACGAAGTAAATAAAGTAGCATCTATTCTAAATCAAAATCGCAGCTTTCTTGTGAATTTTGACCCTCTGCATAACAAAATTTGAGAAAGTGGCAACTGCTACAGGGCATGTCTTGCTTTTAGCGTCAAAACGGTGAAGTCATTTGAATGGTTGCTCTCACTCCAGTGGTGAATATTATCAGAGACTATGATTCTTTGATTTAACTTTAAGACCAGTGATTTGATTAGAAATTGAATTTGAGTCTTTTAATGCTTACATATATTTGCTTAGTTATTTGCTTTGAGTTTTGAATTTGAGTCTTGAGTTCTATTGTATTAGCATTCCTTAGGATTCTATAAATACTCTTGTAATTTTCAGACTTGAAAGAGGTTAATTTCGGTTGTTTTGAGATTTGGAATAGCATGTGATTTGCTTCCATTGGTCTAACAGCGACAAAGTCTAACCCTTTCTTCTTCCTTATCTTTTCAGCACATGCGTACCTATTACCATGAAAATCAAATCTGAACCACTATCAGGCCCAAATCCATCCTAATGATTTCTATCCCATTGAAAGTTGATACCCCGCCCCTCTCAATCAGTACTGGAGCAAATAGCTACACTTAGGTTTCAAATATGTGATTGTCATTCCATATATAAATAGCATTACCCCTTTACTCATTATTATGATCGTAGAAAGTTCAGTGATGTATCTTATTCTATCTTATTCTGGAGGATTTTTGATGATCCATTTAGATATGAAGTTAAATGAAAGATTGCTTTTCTTGTTTTACATCGGACGTGCAATGTGTCCATATGCAAAGTGTAGGCTAAAAAGGGAATCTGAAGTTAGGTGGTTGAAAAATCACTTTAGCTCTTGTTCATGTATATGTTCATGGCTATGTTACCTGGGTACTTCTATTTAGAAGCTATACCTGAACCGGACACGTATCCATACCTGTACCCGGACCCAAACCCGAACTTCTTGGACACTTCTTGAATATACGCACACGTTTGTTCAAGCTTATACTCAATAATATACCACATGTTTTACTTGAGAACACTCGTACACTTCCTGGATGATATTCTACACTTCATATCTATTTCTAATATAATGATTTTATGTAAATGAAAAAATAATATTGATCTTATGTAAATTATTAATTTCAATATATATAAATATACGTAACATACTTATTTATAGCAGTGTCCCCATACCCTACTTTTTACAAATTTGCTATGTCTCGTACCCGTACTAACACCCGTACCCATACTCATGCAACTTAGGTTCATGATCACATTTGAGGGCCAATGAAAATTGGTACTTTTATCTTCATTTATAGAGATATAATGTAGTTTTTGCTAATGTCTGAGCTCAAGACCACTTTAGCACTCTGACTTTCCCAGCTCTAACCGGAAGTGTATTCGAGGTTTAAGCCCAGCTAGATCCAAAATCAGAAGCAAAGTCAAATTTGGAATTGGAGCCTGAGAAAAACCGAAAGCGTATTAGAAGCTAGAGCTAGAGCCCAAATCCGAGCATAAGCCTACTTTAAAATGTGATTGAGATAAAGTTGGAGATCACAATGCAATCCTATGTTTTCCTGTTTATCTATCATTTGATTGTTCAATTCATCATTGTAGATACTACGTCGCCTACCTGTCATCAATTAGCAATTGTAATGTGGAAGAGATTAGTGCCCTTGATTAAAATACCTCCTGTTTGTCCTTGCAAGAAACTAGATGTTGGTTCTTCTTCAACATGAGGAAATTTGTTGTAGGACAACTTCAATATGAAATTTGGAAGAGTTTTAGTTTAATCAGAAGTATCCTATTTAGGGTTAGATATTCAATTTGAGTTTAGGATTAGTTATTTGATTTGAAATTTGAATTTGAGTCTCTTGGTTCTATTTTGTATTAGTATTAATTATTGATTGAAAGTTGAATTTGAATCTTTTAGTTCTATTTGTATTAGGACTTCTTATGAATCATAAATGGTAATTCACACATTTGAAGTAGAGATTGATTCTAGTAGTCTTTAGATTTTCATGTGATTTGTTTTTGTTGGTGCAAGATCAACATACTCGTATGTTACGCTGGGTACTTCTATATGAAGCTACCTGACTACTTCTATGTGAAGCAGTAACCATACCCTTCACGTACCCCTACCTGCACCCGCATCAAACATCTTGGACACTTCTTGAATATGTGCACACGTTTATTTGGCATGTACTCAATTATATAATACATGTTTTAATTTAAAAGACTTGTCATACACTTATTGGACATATATCCTACATGTCCACTTCTTAAAAATCGTTGAACATGGGGTAAGTACATCTTAGCCGATACCTAAGTAAGAACTATGATTTTAAAAGGCTGTGGATAACTAGTTAAAAACCGAGCTGTTTTCCAATTTATAATCTACATGAATAGAAAAATATAAAATGTTATAGGAACTTTAATTCAATAATTCTTATGAAATATAAGTTAGTAATTTTAATATATATAAATATACATATTAATACATACATACAGCTGTGTCCTCGTACTTTTATCTTTTACAAATTTGTCGTGTCCCTTACTCATACCCATTTCCATACAACTTAGACATATCCTAACTTCTCTTCTTCCTTTTCTTCTTAAAGCAACACCCGCCTATTCCTCTCTAATCAAATCCAACGAGTAAATACTCTACAAATCTCTTCTTCTCCCGTCCTTAACCCTCAAATGATCCCAATCTCATCCATGATGTCTTCACCATCAATATACTCGCACAATAACTTTCTTTTTACCACATTAACTATGATAAACATAATGTTTGTTAGTTTTTAAGAAAAAAAAATGTGTCAAGGCTCCAAAAGAAAAAAGTTCATGTGCCACCCATCACTGTATTAATTCTCTTATGTATAAGCCCTAAATACCAAGTATTTTTATGATTCAACTCTTTTTAGAACTCTGTCCCAAAGAATAACCCAAAAAATTCTAAAACTACCCCTCATGTACTTCCTCTTCTTCTATCTGCTCCTCTCCTCTTCTCCTCTGCTTCTTTCCTCCTCTCCCCTAACTCTACCTTTCTCCTCTCTTCCCCTCTTACTCCTCTTACCCTCCAACCCTTTCTCACCTACCTCCTCTTTCGTCACCACTGAACGTACCCTCTAGCCCCATCATCTTAGGAAAACGTTGAGAAGGCTTAGAGAAGAAGAAGAGACGGTCGACAAGATGGATGGAGAGCAGCATGGAGAAGAAAGGAGAGGTCGAGCTCATCGAGTTAGTGAAGTCCATGGTGATGGGAGGTAAAGGGAGATCAGAAAGGGGTATAGATGGATTTGATGATGAAGTGCGGTCTCCAAGAGGTATAGAAGGCGGTAGGAGGTGGAGGTTAAGGTTAGAGCTCATATCTAGTAGGTAATGAAGGAGGAGGAGGATGAGATTTTTGTGATTTTAGAACATGTGTTGTTCTCGAAATGGTTGTGAGATGGATGAGTTGGCTTGCTGGTTAAAATGATATTACTTGGGCTAAAAATTTATCAATGGCTAGAGTGTTTG